TAGGGGCTTGCCAGGCTCCTTCAGTGGGGATCCCAAGAAGGCCTCTCTGGGCTGGGCTCCGTGCCGGCGGGCGCCGGGCCCCCCGACGGCTTGTGCTACGTGTGCCCCCGGCTCCCCCCAGTTCCCCTTGAGGTGGATGCAGCAAATGGCAGAGCTCTGGCCCCGGCACCTTCTCCTAACCGCTTTCTTTTTTGGACCATTTCCCTGCTCGCACATAGATGACCTTTAGAGAAGCGCTGCCGGACTAGCAGTGGTCGGGTTGAGGGCCCAGCCCGCTTGTGCTCACTCTTTCTTGAAGCTCCTTGGTAGCACGAGCCTTGGAGGAAGTGAGAGAGGTTGCTGAAGGCTAGTCTGCTCATGAAAGTTCATGCGTAATGAGAGTGGGGTGTGAATTTTAAGTCAGGGCAGCTGTTTCTGAGTGATTAGCATAATGCGTGGACGTGGTTTGTGGAACAAGCCTGCCTTGAAACCAGGTTAACGGGAGCAATTATATGGTTTCTCTCCTAGTGGAGAGAAAGTGGGAAACGAAGACAGTTTGGTTGAAAATGTCCAGTGTAGTACAGGGAAAAATAGCAGAAAAGACAGATGTTTTGGAAGCACAGAGGGACTCAAAGGAAGCCAGCGGCGGCGGGACCACTGGTGCAAAAGGCCTTGTAGGAAACCATGTGAAATCTTGGATTTAATGGGGCAAGATGCACAAAGAAATGAAGGGATTCAGAAGATGGAAGCAACATGTACAAACATGTTCTGAATCATCCAACTTCTGTATATAACATGTTCCACTTCCCTTTCTTCTGAGACTTCTGCATGTAGGCCTGCACTGTGCTTACCCTGCTGATTTTTTTTGTTACGTATTTCTTGGTTGGTTTTTTCTTGTTGTCTGATTCACTGTCTTAACAGGGTAGGAGGAACTTACCAACTAACATGGGGGTGTTCAAGAATCAAGTGAGCATTGGTTTAAGAAAAGGATTGATTTATGCAAAATAAAACTGTCTTTCAGAACAGCATCCTGCTTGTACTTTTCGAGTTTATAGACCAGGTAGCTTCATTAACAGCTGGGTCCCCCTGCACTACATGTTTGTCTCATAGACAGAGTGGATTTGATTTGAATCACTGGTCAGGAAGCCTTGATTTAATCATTGCTTTCTACACAAAGTGCATTCTTGTTGTTTGATATAACCTTCATTCAAATATTCCCAAACAGGGTCTCTTATGGCCTGGCAAGCTTGCTGCCATGATAAGTTTTCCCTTCTACGACACCATTCCCTCACTAGATCTCAAATCAATGTGGAGGCTATACTCAGAAACCTATCCCTCAAGATTTCTGGAATAAGCAGCTCAAAATGTTTCTCATTCTTTTTCTACTGCCCCTCCCTCCTTGCACTTATCTCCAGACTCCTCTTCCTTGCCCAGATCTACTCTACCCCCAACAATCCTCTTTTCATTTAATTTCCTTTCGAGAGTGGTAAGGGCAGTGGCAATGCATAGGGGCAACACGTAGGGGGTGTACATACACCCCCTGAGAGTGCTGGTGCACTCCCTGACTGGCCACACTTGCGGCTTAAGTAATGGGTAGGGGGGGCAGGCACCTGTGCCCTCCTGCAAACACCAGCCGGGGAGTGGGAGGAAGCAGCCACAGCAATTGGGACCTGCATGGCACCTGCCCCCCCACCCCCAGCCATAGGTAAGGGCTTAGCTGTGTACACAAACTTGCAGAGACACAACAGGGCTGATGAATCAGGTCTTATCTCTCATCTCTGTATACTGCTGTTAACAAGCATGTTATCTCTGGTGACAGAATCACAGTTTGAGAACTGAAACTAAGGATTACAGAGATGCTTAATAGGATTTTCTAGACTGAGCACTGAGTCCCGTTGGGCAGAGTGGTTTTCTTTAATCTTTACTAATCTATCGAGGAGCCTCTGGGAACCCCATAAGATTGGGCCCCTAATGTAGTCCATGGCTTCTTGTGGTCTGTTTATAATATATTGTCTCAAATAGTATGTAATTAGAAGTTACAGTCCCTATTCCATGATGATATTTTTGAGCTCTAATATAAATTAAAACTATCTTTATGTAGGTTTATTTTTTTTAAAGCACCTTAACAAAAAGGAGACGATTAAATAAAAAAAAAATCCAATTTAAATGTTTAAAAATCTATTTTTTATTTTTTAATTTGAAATTGTTGATTTTTATCCATCCTGCTCATGGAATCTGGTATAGTCTGTCACCAAGAAAAGTGTATGCCTTTCTGGACAATTTTTTCATTAAGGTCCCATGCTGCTCTGCCTTCTGTCTGACTTCAAACTAAGACAGCTAACTTTCATTCTCTAAAGTATATCCAAATTACAACTTTTATTTGTCATCAGTTTATATGATTGACTTCAGCAGAAACATCAGTCTTTCTCTGCTCATCATGAATCATACCTTATTTGCCTTTAATTTGCTTCAGTCAAGTGAAGTGTAGTATAGTTAATGCTAGAAAAATCTCAGTCCCTGTGCTTTCGTAAGTGTACCTTTCTCATAGGTCTTTATCTGAAACATGGATAACCAGGTATCTTGCTACCTTTTGTATTTGCATTTATTTCATAGTTAAACTTCAGATCAAACTGGTGGTAATGGAAAGTAGAACCTAATCCTGAACAGCCAGAGGTTGTAACCATATATGTGCTTATAGTTTTTAAGGTTTCAGGTATCATTCAGGGGGTTTGTTTTTGTTTCATACCTTGTAGGTGTTATTGTAAGCCACCAGGAACCTTCTTTTTATGAGGTAGTATACAAATCCAAAATAAATATATACAATAATAAATGCCTTTTCACTGTTCTATGCCTAGATGTATGTGCCTGTCCAATAATCTTATGAAAGATTTATTTGCTCCCTTGGATAACCTTTTTAAAACCACAATAGTTAATAAATGCCTGTTTCTAAGGTGTTTTTAACTATTTTTAAATATGTATAATATATATGTATACATTTATTTTCTACATGTGTACACAGAAGGATAAATATATTTCTATTTAAATAAAAGGAGTAATCTTATAGATCTTTGGAGGCAAAGACAGTTTTTACTCCCTCTGAGTTAGGGCCTGGCTTTGATATCTACAGGTGAAAAATGAATTAACAGTGACCTAATTTAATAATTTTCAGTGGTATCAGAAATTAATGTTCAGATGTTAACTTTCTCACTGCATTTAAGTCAAAATGTGTGTGTGTGTGTGTGTATGCATGCGCGCGCGCGCATGTGCATAGAACGGGTATAGTCCACATTACAGACCACACAGTTCTGTAAAATATAGCTACTGTGATACAATGACCAAAATAAAATGCAGCCAAGTTATTGTGCAGTTTGCATCTAACTTATTTTAAATAAGATGACATGTATTAACTCTCTTCTTTCCCTGCCTTACCAGTAAACCACCAAATAACCAGCCAAACACATTTATAGACGTAGACTGAATTTGTAGTATTGTTATAACTCCGAGAAAAATCCTGGAGGGGTTAAATCATACAGCCTTTGCTCACAAGTCAGTGTGGTCTATGCATGTGAGAGAATGTTTGTAAGATGGAACCTATGGCTTTTAGTAGACCTTCTAACAAAAAGCTAGCAACATTGAGTATTCCAGGGGCTATTCTAATTGCCTTTTTCTGATCTAAGGGCCATACAAAGGTGTAGGTGCCAAGTGTCAAATTGGAGAGCACTTGCTTGGAGTTGTCTAGTCCTAGTGTTGCTCTTCATGGATACCTGCTTCCCCTCTTATTTTGGGTACCAGAATTAGATTTTTAAGCCACTGATAGTCCAATACAGTCTAATGAAATTCTGTTCATGTTGTAGGCAAGTGCACAGGAGGGTATCCTGCATGCTTCTGGAAATGGAATACCTCCAGTAAAAAAGGACTACTGCATACTTTACAATCCTGTTTGGACATCTCTTGCAAATAGCCTCGATAATGTAGTAAGTAGTTAAATGACTGTACTGTCTTAAGAGCTCTGAAACTGAGAACAGTTTTGGACTGAGTAGAACTGATCTCATAGTATTGTGTCAAACCAGTGCTACACAAAACTAGCTTTAAATAATACCTTTTAATTATTTTGTCAGAATAACAATGAAAAGGTGGTTAGTCTAATAATCCTAAAAACCTTAATCTAGTGAATGTATTAATAAGTACTTTAAGAAAAAGCCCAACCTCAATAATTCCACAAGTGATACCCCTGTTATGCTATTCAAACAACTGTACCTAAATGAGCATGGCTTTTAAAGAGAACTGTTAAAGTCTAGTTGAAATGTCAGGAAATCCGAGAAAAATAAAGAGAAGGGTACCCCTTTTCATGCTTAGATTTAAACACCCTTACATTTCAAAATTTTGAGATTTTAGTTTTAGGCTTGTGTTTATAAAGCAGAAATTTACATGAACTAGAAACAGAAATGAACATGACCTGTAGTTTGAATGGATATCAAACGGCAAAAGTGAGAAAACCCTCCATGTATATTCTAGAGGATTTTTTCCTTTCCTTTTAGCTACCCTGGATATTATTAGCATTTCTATACATTTGGATACAGGTTTTTTCCGTCATTCATAAACAAGACAGGCTCAGTGCAAAATTGAAGTGTAACAGCCATGTTTCTGTCAGAGGATTTGCTGCGGCTTGTGACTATGTTGGCTGCAGGAAAACTTGAGCAGCCAAAGAAAACAAAATGTTGTTCAATGGGACTTACTAAATGTTTTGAACTAAAAATAAATGTGTGGAATATTTTTATTCAAACAAATACAACTTTGTTATAAAGCAGGCATACTGTTTTGGCACAAGTGTGGCAGCCCAACCAGAGTTTGGATGTGTAGCTGAGTCATTCGGCTTTGTCTGGGGAAACTTAGTTATATTACAGAGGTGTTCTCAAAGGCAACAGATAGCCACTCCCTGATGAGCTTTTTTCTGATGACCAGGTTAGGGTAGTGTCTGGTCTTGAGAGATGTTGTAAAAAGGTTGGGGTTGGTTCACAAATCTGAAATATACTTATAGTGTCTATTTCCTGTTTTTTAAGATAGTCTTTTACAATCTTGTGGTATCACAAAGAAACCATGTGCATATGGCCTTGAGATAATTTGCTCTTCCCTATCTACTAATTCACTAGTCCATTTTAAGATAGTTTGATCAACAGCATACTGGGTTGTGTTAACAGGAGTGTCACTGACAAATCAAGGGGAGTGGGTTTGTTTTTTTGCTGTATTTAGTACTTAATGAGGCCTCACCTGGAATACTGTGCCCAGTTTGGGGCTCCACACTTCAAAAAGAATGTGGACAAATTAGAAAAAGTGTGGCACAGAGCGACAAAAATGAGTAAGGGCCTGGGAACCAGGACTTGAGGAAAGGCTGAAAAAACTAGGGTTATGGAGTGTGGTGAAGAGAAGACTGAGTGGGAATTTGATAACAGTGTTCAAATACCTGAAGGGCAATTACAGAGAAAATGGAGATGGGCTTTTCTCCCTGGCCACAAGGGACAGGACTAGGAGCAATGGCCTCCAGCTGCAACAGAGGAAATTTAGGTTGGTGATTAGGAGGAATTTTCTGACTATGAGGGTGGCCAAACATTAGAACAGGCTACCTGAGAAGTTGTAAAATTTCCATTCTTGGAAATTTTCAAGAGCAGGTTGGATAGATACTTGGCTGGGATGGTTTAGTCAGGGATGATCCTGCCTTGAGTAGAGGGCTGGACTAGATGACCTTGTGAGGTCCCTTCCAGTTGTACTTTTCTATGATCTGTCTTGCATTGTGTTAGCTTTGTTTATGCTGTGTAAATACATGGTTTTGTTTCAGTAAAATGTGATAAATAAAAGAGAAGAACAATTGCAAATTCATGTTTTGATTGTAATTACTGCTTGCATACTCATTTTTTTTGTAGACTTCCAATAGCTTGGAGAACTTGACTTCAACTGTGCTCTGCAGTTATTCTGATGTTCCTTCTGGCTTCATAAAAGACAAAGCAGTTGTAGTAATGAGGGGAAACTGCACATTTTTGGAGAAAGCAAGAATTGCTCAAAAACACGGTGCTAAAACGCTGCTGATCGCAAGTAAAACTGCTCTAGTAAGTTCCCCAGTTATGTGGGGTGCTCAGTGTTAAAGTGACCATCATATTTGCATTGTATTTTGACTTATTTTGACACACTTCTATATGAAAAAGCTTGTTTTTGCTTATTTTGGTTTAGTTTTATAATCTTGATTGATTTTAATACATTTATTAAGTATGAATATGTTGCATAAAGTCTAAAAAAATAGACCAATATAGGAGAAACAGCAGGAAGAAAGCTGACATAAATAAGATGGCAGTTCTTCAAATAATGTCTTATTCTTATACCACATGAATAAACCCCATTAATTTTGTTCTTCAATGGCTTGATGGTATGTCGTATATAAAATGCTTGTAGTTAGAAAACTGCAGAAGTAATGCAAAGTATAGTTGTAATACCATATTTACTCAAATATGAGATGACCCTGAATGTAAGATGATCCCCCAGTAATTAGATTCTATACATGGAAAGTTTATACATGTACTGTAATTTTCCATGTATGGGATCTAATTATTGGAGGATCATCTTAAATTAATCTCCTCTCCTACTACTGCAGGTGTGGGGAGAGGTGATGATGGGGCAGGCTGTGGGGCTCAGGTGGTAGGGGCAACAGTGAGGCAGTCTGCTGCCCCAATTCCCCCCCTTCCCATGTTCCCCCCATCTCCCCTCTCCATGCCACTTCTGCCATCCACAGCTTCAAGTCCCTTCTACCTTGCCCCACCTCCCCTTCCCTCTTCCCCCTTACCTTTGCTCTGTGCTAGCAGCTCCATCCCTGCTTCAGCCCAGGGCTCAGAGTATTGCAGTTCAGGGTACAGAGGATTGCTTTGGCCCAGGGCCTGGAGCAGTGGTGCAGAGCTGGCACTGCTGTTCCTGCCTGACCTCCACAGCTTTTGAGGCAAGCAGTAGCTGTGGTTTGGCTCTAGCCCCAACCCTCAGTTGGAGCCAGTGCTGCAGCAGCTGCCTGTCCCCCTTCCACTGCCTCATGCTCAGTTGTAAGGTGAGGTTCTTTTCCCCCTATGTTTCAAAAGGGTGGTTGGGGGGGAGGACCTTGTCTTCTAATAGAGTAAATATGGTAGATCATCACTGATGAAAATAACTTTAACTCAAAATTATAAAGGGTGGTTATTTGGAACCAAGTCCTATTGATTACTTATTTATAACATCATAAATGCAAGACAACTGTAGATTTGGAAATATTCTGATAGTGTCAGCTTCTGATTGTCTTGTCTAGTAGCGGTCACCCTTTTGGCCCTGTGGGCTAGTTGAGTGGCTTGAAGCCAGTCTACAGTCTGGATGGAGCCCTGTGCAGCAGGATCAAGCCCTGGAACTTGACACCACCTCCTCCTTTCCCCACTTGCTGGGATTGGGCCCTGGTGCTGCCTCCTGCACACTGGAATAGGGGCTTCCTATGGGTTTGTAAATTGGGTAGCAGGGGAGCAGTCTCTGGGCTGGATCTGTTGAGCCCCCCCAGTGTAGTTTAGTTTTTCTCAAACTGTGAGATGGTTATAGTATCTGTTGATTTTTATTTATGAATATACATCCTGGCATTTAAAGAATAGCCTACATAAAGAGTAGTATTATGCAGATATGCTATGAACTTCTCTTATACCTGCTTTCTCTTTTAGTCTCCTCCTTCAGGTAACAAGACAGACTTTAAAGATGTTACCATTCCACTTGCTCTTGTCAGATATATTGACATAATGGATATGCAGGTAAATGACTTAATAGGCTACTGTAACCATTTGGTTAGTTATTTATGTACTTCCCAGGCACTGACTGTCCAGTTAGACAGGCATGTTTATAATTACTGGGTCCAGTGTTCAGATAGTAACGGTTAGACAATATCTTGAATTCCTCAAAGGTGAAGTGGGGACTTGAGGTGTGAAACAGGAGTTTTCTTCGACCTCTTTCAGGTTAGTCCACAAGGGACTCTTTAGTCGATATGTAAGTAGTACAGAAAAGATGGGAGAAAAATCTTTAAAATACAAAATATAAGTCAGGTTCTGGGGGCAATGTATTTTTTTAGACTCTCATCCTATTGCCTGCAGTTGCTTGTGAGGCATTGCTTCTGTGGCCATAACAATCTATCAAGATAACATTTTGTGCAGCGTGCTGGGTTACTTGACAAAAGCATGAGGGGCTATGTGATGGTTGCATATGTAGTGGGTGCAAGGAGTTGTACCTGATTTTTACTATGCTTTCAGTGATTAGCAAAAACAATAACTTAGTTACAAGTGCTCCTATTCCATCTGGTCCCTGTCGTGTCAACACTTGGTCCACTCTGCTTATGGGCATGATTTTCTGCAGAGTAACCTGCATCATAAGCTTGTAAGCACAAATCAGGAATGATATTAATTATAGCTTATTGAGAGGGAAGGATCCTCTCCTGGTCATGGTATAGTTTAATATGACTTTCTGCCATATGTTAGCCATCTTCTGTTGGAAGATACTGAACATGAAGGAGCAACCAGTGGCAGTTAGTTTCTACCCAGATGCACTACCATTTCTGGGAAAATCTTAGAAAAGCTTTCCCAGTAGCTCAGTATTCACTTTAGTTGTACAGTGGAGGCAATTTGGTTCCAGTTAGGAGTGAGGAAGACATCTTCCAGACTGTTAGTGCCATTCCTTCTTTACTGATCCATTAAGACTTATTCCTGTTGTCTTTTGCCATGCTAGTCAGATATGTAATGATGCCATTTGTGGATACTTTACTCTGGTGAATGTCAGGTGTTTTCTAAGTGCTCTATTACCACCAGGTAATAGTCTCCTGGTGGACCTTATCATGATCATAATTATGCAAGAAGCATGCAAGAAAATGATGGATTTTGAGGTTTTCAAGGATAGTGCTTATAGTACTTGGCAGATAGTACTTTCTTCCCTATTGCCTACTATGATCTGTCAGATAAAACAGACAAGTGAAAAAACACCCTAGACTGTTCAAATTCAACAGCTGACGCTTTAAATAGTACCCAGTAACTCTCCTCTGACACAGGATTATGGATAAAGACAAAACAATGGAATTTAAAAGGTAGTTCTAATAGCTAAATTTGTTTTATGTATTTGATAACAAATTGTTGTTTGTATCTCAGTAACTTAACAGAACTCATGTGTGGCTTTGTTTTAACTGCATTAAATGTTACTTATGAAACTGCCTTGCTATTCGCGTTGTGCTTTGCTGAAATCAATGTGATTTATTGAATAAAAAATAATAGGTATATTGTTGGTGTATTACTTTCGCCATTAAATTCTCTCTTTGCTAGATATGCTGACAGAGTGTCTTCCTACAGCCAAATGTACTTGTCATGTTCTTCTCCCACGTGTAGGCCGTTAAAAAATCTGTTAGTTTTTCCTCTGTATTATCTCTGATACATCTTTCTGTCCCCCCTGCAGAACTCCTTTTCTGTGCCCTAGGTTATAGTTTATCTGACTGTTGGTGCTCTTTTGTGTGTTCATTTACTTTCCAGTTGCTTTCCAACTACTATCCTTTCCTCCTTAATGGTCTTTCCCTTCCCTTCTACGTGAAGGTCAAGCTTCTTGTACTGTGGTCTTGAATGTGAAAACAACTCTCTCTGCTGACATCTGTGTTTCTCTTGTGTTTTCTTCCTACCCCATTTCTCACTTTTGTCTTTGAATGCTCTTCTATTCTGTTTTTACACTTACATATCTCTCTCTGTTTTAAAATCCACCCCTCAAATCATGCAACTTGCTGATTTGAATAACCACTCCTAAACTACTGTTGGACTCCAGACTTGCACACCTTGTCTGAAATAGCTTCCCTGTTAATTCCAGGCATACCTTGGATCAGGGGACTAAGGCAGCAGATCTTTAGCTGATATAAATTGTTGTATTTCCATTGAAGTCACTGGAATTAAGACAGTTTTCACCAGCTGAAGATCTTTCCCAAAATGTTCAGTCCTTTGAGGGTTAACAGGCATGTGGACTGAGTGCACAGCTCAACGTGTTGGTGTCATAGAGAAATGTACCATACTTCTGTGGACAGGCTAGGGTTCCACTATGTCAACTCCTATTAAGTATATAGTAATCTTAGCTAGTAGGCAGGCAACATAAATATTCAGTACACTCTGAACTAATTTATAGATCAATGGTGTAACATATTTGGTAAAAATTGGGTAAGCGGTATGAATCCCTACCTCTTTGTCAATGCTGTTCTTATGTGTAACTGGTTATTATATTTCAGACTCTTGGAAATAGGATTAATGTGACACTCTATTCACCACCTTTGCCAGAATTTGATTACAGTATGTTTGTCATATTTCTAATTGCTGTTCTCACTGTGGCGCTTGGAGGCTATTGGAGTGGCGTATCAGAACTGTAAGTTTAATTAAACCTTATGATTTATTAAGCATTGTAAATTATGGATCTAACATGTTTGTGGTTATAGCTATGAGAGGAAGGATGACCCGCTGATTAGGGCACCCCTGTAGAACTTCAGAGACCTAGATTCAATTGTACAGTCTACCACATGCTTCCTGTGTGACTTTGGCTCTAAGTTTAAGTGGCTTGAGTAAGTCACTAAGATATTTGGGTACCTGATTCCCAATTAAATATATTAAGAGTTAGGCACAAGTACCTTTTGGATTTCATTCTTAGTTTCTGCCTTAATTCCCAGTCTGTAAAATGTGGATTGTGACATTATTTACCACACAGTGGTATTAAGTAGGTAAATACTGAATATTACATTGATGCTCTTATGCATGGCAGTGAATACCATAAAAACTCTGAAGATTAAATCACTTCAGGACATATAAATATCTACTTTCAGATATCAGTTATAGCTTTTCATCTCCCATCTACCTTTTAAGACTCTAATTCATGTGATGCATCATGCTAGTGTCTTCAACAAGCTGCTAAAAGCATTTCTAGCTTTAAAAAAGCTGATGAATCCAGTAATAAAAAATCTGGTTAGAATCTGGAAGGGATAAATCCCAAATCCAAAAAAAAATTCTAAACGTACACCTCAAAAGTGAAACCCAATAAAAAGATACCATGTAAAAAGTCCCTTAATAAGGTAATCCAGGACTTCTGGAAGGAAGCTCTGTTGTCTTGTAATGAATTCTATTGCACAGTGGCTAGACTGCCCCCAGTGCTTTCACTAGCTTGCTTAAATATAGCTTGAGTTCCTTTGCACTGTGCCAGTTCAACCAGAGTGCTTCGACAGCCTTTGAAGGGTGCCCCTGGGAGAGAGGAGATAAGGTTGAGGAGATGAGCATGCTCTTTCCTCTTAACTGCTGCTTCTCCTTCTCGGCCACTCTTCAGGCATGTAAGTGTTTTAATAAATTAGCTTTCCAAATGGGATGTAGTTCAATTCACAGAAGTTATGGAGGTGTGCTTTGTGTCTAAAACAGTTGAGAACCACTTCACTATGCTGTAGATTTGCTGAAACACAAGGATTGGTAGGAGCAGGGGGAGAAATTACCATAAAAAATTGTCCTCTGACTTCCCCTTTTCTTGGTTCAACCTGAAAAAAGCCATGCCCTTCTACTTTTCCTTAATGTTTTGGGGCAATGATGGAAACTGAGAGAGTTCATTTTGGAGAAGGCTATGTGCATGTAGCGGATGTTGGTGCCTGTGTCTTCCTTTTGATAAAAAAATAAAAAAAATTGCCTAGCTAGTGAAGAAGTGTAACACACTGTGGACAAGGAGTCTGTAGGAAGTGGTGCCTACATGGAAATGACAGACTAAGCCTTGAGTTCCTGTTGACTTCTGGAGAAAGAGAGATGGCCAGTGCCAGCCTTTTTTTTTTTTTTTTTTTTTTTAATCTATTTTCACTCCCAAAATCTTAGAGTAGAGGCTTATGGTCTACACGGTATCATATGGTTTGTCTTCCTTCGTGCCATACTTACTTATATCAATAGTACCAGGAGTTTCCCTCTATCTAGTGCCTTTTTTTAATTTTTAGTACTGGTCAAGGATATCTAGAGAGTGGTGCAGCTCTTGAAAAAGGATGCCTGAGGGTTTGAGCATATTGCCAAATAGTCTGAGACTAGAATCTTTTAATGTCTTAATATTTCTTTCTATGTTTTTCCACAACCCATATTACTAAAGTTCAGTGGGTTACCAAAAATAGTGCAAAAGAATATGAACATAAT